TGGATGTTTGTTATATGCAGCTGCATATATGTGTGTTCCATATATGCAGTTATTGTCTGCGTTCTGTCAGTGATGATTACTGGTTATAACATGCAATTTGAAGCAAATAACCACTAGAATTGCTCGTTATTTGCAAGCAATATTCGTTATTTTATGCAGTGTATCCGGTGGCCAACATCAAAGAAAAAAATATCAAAAAACAAATGAAAGAATGACTTGTTTTTCTCAAAATGAAATATCTCTTGATTCTTAAAATTAGTCATGTGACCTGTTATCAACCAATCACAGAATGAAAACATAACAGTGAGATGATAGTCTTACAGTTTATATTTCAGGAAGAAATAGGACACAAAAATTAATGAATCCATTAAAATATATAATTATTTAGTGATACCATTATTAGGGGTCAATCTGAAATATAATTTTAAATTATGCTTTTGGAATACTGATATGGTCCCCAAATCTAAAATAAATAATTAAGAAAAAATGAATTAAATATTCATTGTACATTTTATTACAAAGGAATGGGAAACACTGTATAGAATAACATTTTATCACAAAGGAAGGACAAGCACTCTATAGAATAACATTCAGAGTTCAGGTGATGATTAGTTTTATAGATAAAAATATAAATAATTAGTAAGTAGCTCTATTGTAAAAGAAAAACCTATAAAAGGCAATCTAATCCAATATAAATGACACAAAGGGTAATACAATTATTAAATCTATCTACCATATTTACGTAACAAGACTATATATACTCATAGTGCAGTCAACATATATATGCTTGCATACACCACTAAAAAGAAATAAAGGTTATTGGAAAAAAGTCTTCAGACATGTGTCCCTCAAGTCACGTTTTTCATTATAGTGATGGCTTACTCATAGCCCTGATATACTAGATTTAATCAACTGATAAAATAATCAAATCTTCTTCGAAAACAAGAAGCCCTGGCACGAGACAGTCTTCAATTAGCAGGTCTGAAGGTTGTGTTCTTCACAATTACTGCTCATGAGTTTTGGCACATATGCTCTCATCTTCATTTCGTTTCTCCGTCATGATAAACCATGACATCTCATTTCTTCTCAGCCCTGAGATGTTTCAGGTGAAACAGAAAGATGCTATGAGTATCAGAATGTCGTTTCGCATATATAACAGATACTAAAATATGATCTTTCTGATATTTATTGAATATCCTTATATAAGAACGTTCTAGTTAGACACGATCAACTCTCATCACAGACTTATATTTGAGCAATCAAATGGTCATAAAACAGTTAGGATATGACTAAAAGAACATAATGTCATTATGTATATCCTACCCAGAAATATTGGGTCGCGACCAGCAAAATGAAGACAGTCCAAAGATGCAGTATGTCAAGATATTGCTGACACACCAGTCACAAATTGATAGGAAATTCCAGTATAGTCAAGCAGAAAAACAGTTTATTAATCGTCTTATAGTATTAGGTGTAATTTATCTCAAGGATACAACTTAACATGCATGTCATTGAGTGCTCTCTGAAGCATATTTTCTCACTGAAGATGAAAGAATGTGCTTTGGCACTAATGGTAATTATTGAGTTCTTAAATAAAGCAGGATCCAACCTTTGTGAGATGGCCATGACCATTTGCATTGACAATAACAAAAAATTGTTATTTTTAATCATAGAGATATTTGCCTCTAACTACTGAAAAGAAGCACTTTTTTAATAGACGATAATATACAGTATTTAGTTAAAAACTGTACTATTTTTGAATTATTCTTTTAATGCTCTCTAGGCCCATATGGTATAGTTGTGTCAGTCAACAGATGAATTGACAATCCCTGTTCCACCATTTTGAAGGTTTTACTTTCAAATATTTAATTATTTGCAGTGTAAAAATAAAAATGAAAAATAAGAAGCCTGATTAGATCTTGTAATTTCTCTTGTTTCACAGACTTAGAGTAAAGGCTCATTGTACATTCAGATCATGTATTAAGCTCCTTTATGAGATTCGACAGTGACAAATAACATACTTAAATACGGTAGAGTAGGTTTTCCGGCCAGTTGGCATTGATACTTGACAAAGCACTTGTGACAAAAGTGCATCATGCAATTTGTCTTTCCAGTGACCAGAAAATGCTATACTTATTGACATCATTCCACTTAGCCAATTTGTGGATGGTTAACACATGAAAGAGATCTTAATAAATCATACACGAATGATGGATTTCAAACAGCAATAGATGCATAGAGAGATGGATGCACGGATGGATTGACAGATGGATGGATGGATGGACGTCTTGTTTATATGCTGTTCATGTCATCATCATTCAGTCCAACTTGAAAATCTATTTGTAGTTGCTGTTGGTTTCTTCTTACTTCTTCTGATTTTATTGGCCTTTTTATTTCACTCTTTGTCTTCTTAGACGGACGGACGGACAGACAGACGAGTGTGCAATGCCATAGGCTCATCATGTGAGCTAATGTGAAATTGTTACGTTATTTGTAACAATGAATCACTAAATAATATAGCATTAGCTGAGTGCCTCTTTATGGTTCATCAATAGAACAGAGACATTGAAAAACACAATTATCCGTAAAGTACTTTAATAGTCTATATATAGCATCACTATTATCTATTATCACATAGGTGCTAATTGATTACAGTCTAACAACAGAGTATTGGATCATATCGCACGTCACAACATTCTGGGAATGCAGATGTAGAAAGTTGAACAAAAATAGAGATAGGTTATGTTGCTTCAATGGGAACTTTGAAGGCCTTCGATCCAAAATTTTAGGCCTTTTGGAATATATGCTGAGTTTTGGAGAGCTATAATATCATTGGCTAGATTTCCATTCATTTGTTTCATTGACTAATTTTTCAAAACCATAGGATATCACTTTTATCTGCTGCCCAAACGAGCATATAGCTTGAACTTATTGTATATCTAATGGCATTTTCATTTGCATTCTACTGCAAAGTGTCAGCTCTGTTAGTTTGGAGATAATTAAATAAAACACCTACTATAAAAAAAATTATAAGAAGTGACAAATAAAGTAAAGGTACAATGCTTAAAGAAAAGGTGAATATTTTAAGCTTTCTTTCAAGTTTCTTTTAAAATTCTGACACCAGAGAAAAATGCATGTATTCCAAAAAGTTGTGCCAGAGTATGCAAAAGCTGCAATGAATAAGACAAAAGTTGCACCTAAAAACTTCTCTGGTGTCAGCAAGAGATATTTCAATATAGTGAATCAAATTGTACGAGTCAAAGAATGATAATACTCCCAAAACTAATATGAGTTGACATTCTAAATTGAAAGACCTCTTCTAGCAGGTAAAATTATACCAGGGAACAAGACAATATACACTGAAAAAACTTAATGCTTTCTCTTTCACTTTAAGAGGATTTGTATATTTTTCATACGAGACACCATGACTTCATTTTAGAAATCTATTTTTCAAGTTGACTGTTTTGTACTTTTGTTGGGGAATGATATAAAACAAATTCTGAAATCACTTATTCAATGATACAAATCTTTCTAGAAAATGAGACTTATGTCAGCTTAGTATTCTGTTTTGAGGAGTAAATCACATGAGTTTGGATTCATTATCATTCAAGCATGTTTAGGTATCAAAATAAGAAAAAAGGCATCAACATTCTCAATCACAAAAATCACACTCTAGAAGCCAATCATAGTACCAAAAACTCTGAAGGAGACACAATCCCAGAATGCAACAGAAATGAGCCCAATGCATTGTGGGAATATGTCTCCTCAGTATGTGATGTGTATATACCATTTGAGATGATAAGATCAGCAGTAGCAGGACGGGTTGGGATTGTTATTGTAATGGGACGCTCACCTACAGTGGAAGATTTAAAATAATAGCATAAATAGTCTGGTATTAAGCCCCAATTATGAATAGTCCTGTATGAAGCCCCAATTATGAATAGTCCTGTATGAAGCCCCAATTATGAATAGTCTTGTATGAAGCCCCAATTATGAAAAGTCCTGTATAGAGCCCCAATTATGAATAGTCTTGTATAGAGCCTCAAGTGTTCTCCTATTTTGATTTGGAGCCAAAGAGATGACTTGTTCATTAAACTAATGAGCATTTTTGGATGAATAACCCTTGAACAATTCTAAAAGGGGAGATTTGATATGAGACTTTCATGAAAAGTCCCCCCCCCCCTTACAGAGAATATACAAACCAAATGATTATTTCTCCTTCAGAATATAACTGAGGAATAACTGAAGCATGAAATGTATCAGTCATGCATTATGCCCTAGTGCTCCCTATTCCTCTACTGCAAAGAGAGAATATGAAACTAGAGAAAAGACAGGGACAATATGCAGGACTTACATTATATACCGATGTAACAATTTAGTTGATTTAGCCGAGACATCACATTCCCTCATCACACAAATACAATTATGACAAATAATAGGCTATACAACGCTTTTGTTTCCATGATAAAAGACTCATAGATAATCCCATTACACTGATTATGCTCTATAAATATAGTTCCGGGATAAATGTCTACATCCATGAACGTCGCAAGCTGAGAATATGGACCAAGGAACAATGTAGCTTTATTCTGAACAATTTTACTTAATAAAAAACAATGAAGATGTATCCATAAGATAAGTGGGCTAAAAAGTGTTCTGAAATGTGTACTACAATGTTCAAACTTGGGTGTGTGTTAAATTATTAGGATAAAAGTAGTTTATGCATTTGTGTGCACTTAAAATATTAGGGGTAAAAGCAATTGCGTGTAGTTCAAACATCTTTGGGGAAAAAGCGATTATGTGCAATTCATTTTTTGATGACACAATCAATTAATTATATACAAATCTATTTACTGGGATTATTTCATGCAGTGCATCTAATATGTAACAATATACTACGATATAATAACTGACACGATATAACAGGAATTGAAAATCCGTCTGACAAATTTCTATTGCATTATGGGATATGCCCTCTAGTGTAGGAATGATGCACTTACCATCATGAAGAGGGTCTATGGTATGGATCATCAGCTGTAATACACCCTGTCTGTACTTACTGCTCCCCACACGCAGTATGGGCACACTGCAACTACGCTGAGGGCGCTGCAATCACACAAAAACAATTAAGTTGAGAAAAATCAAAGTGAGAGACATCCATTTTGGTTCATAGTGATGTCACATAAAATACATATACTCTTGTTAGGGAGGTTCACTAACACTTTCACCATTAATTCTGATAAATGATGTCCATCCTGATAACAAAATTATTTCCCGAATGTATGCTCTCGTTTAATTATGAGAATACTCCAGGATAAAAAACAGGAAGCAGTTTGTAATTATAAAGTACTATGTATTTTCTTTTTTGTAATCTTATCTTGCCCGCCCCCCATGCTCACTTTAACACTGTAAAGGGGTTTGGAAGGGGAAGGTAGGGGGAGATATTGGTCAAGGCTTTACATTTTTATTTCTAAGAAATATAATCGGAACAATCTCACTTAATTTTTAAGGTTTGATGCAACACTCATACTGTATAGTGCTAAGGGGAAATTAGGTAATTCTTATATAAACAAGTGAAGGAAAGCAGAGAAGAACAAATCTGAACTCTTAAGGTGACCAATTTCTATGCTATTAACCTTTTTTATAGAAACAATTCCTGATCTTAAGATATTACTGCATGTAATAAATCAAAATTGTTTATGCATGTCCATCTGCAAAAAGGTAATTAGCTACTCTCTCATTAGACCCATTAATTACTTTTTGATTACTTTGAGGTACCTAACAAAAACTACACACAAACTATTTACAATATCATAATAAATCCTTTAAAGTGAGAGAAATGATATTGATATCCCGTCTATGGTATCCTAGCTGCTTGTCGCACAGTAACCAATATGACAAAAGCCGTGTTCTGGTGACTCTATTGAAAGGTTATGTGTATGTATCCATTTTTTCATAGATTTTCTATTTCCTGAGCTCAATTGTATTGAAAGTGTTTGTTTTTTAGATTGTTTTTCCATATACAATGGAACAGTTAAGGGCTTCAAAGAATCCAAAGACGGAGAACATTTCTTTATGATTAAAGTAGAATATTAGTGAACGATGTTTATGATGGAATAATTTACAATTGTGTACTATTTTAATGATATTCCATACACAAGCATACAATAATTGAAAATAACATTAGATAAGATATCAAGATTTTTAACAAGTCATTATGATCAATATTGACTTCTAATAAAAATATTACGAATATATCAGTAGATGAAATTCTCCAATGGGCATACGATTCACCAGGAGGTGTCGTAATCAGATTTTTTGAGATAATTAACAATAAAGTATAGGCTTAATTAATCCCATATCGCCAAGGTGATCTTAAAGCGTTTAATGAAGAACATTACTTGCGATGCTTGCGTATTCCCATCTTTCTTTATTTCCCCCATCAGACAGTTATGGGCAAGTACACAATCAGTAGAGCACCATTAACAGAACCTTGAGACAATGCAGTGCAGTGAAATATGGGATATATGGAGGCATTAATTGTTAGGGTCCGACCATCACGGCTGCACATTTCATGGCAGTTTGCTATCTAGCCATAGCACATGAGGCAACACTTGTTTACAAAAACACCAATTATCAAAGAGACTGCTTATTACAGCTGAGATTTCAAGGCACTTGGTAATCAATAATCCTAAAATCATACCTCATTTCATATTTCTGATTTCTCAAATTTCAGATTATATGCATTAGATGTGTTACTTTCATACATTTATTTGTACAAGATATCATGGATTTCAAAATGTTAAAAAATTGTGCAAAAACGAGTGCAAAGTCTCACATTTTTGCTTGCATGCAAGTTACACCTAATCAATCATAGACTACAAGCAACAACAGTTCCATATATTTCATGAGAGAGTTCACTGACTTCAAAGCTGAATAAAACAAGATAACAGCAACACCAGTGGGATAGGATAATGAGTAATTAAACGACAATGTACATCTTGTATTATGATAACCTTCAATTATACGAGACAATCAAATGGGAGGATCTCCATGGTGAACAACCGGGTTGAATATCTCGATCATACGTGAACACAAAGAATAAGCCAAATTACATTTCCAATCCTATCAAGGAACCTTCAATTTCATAATAATTGAAAAGCGAAATTACGAGTAGAAAAGGGGACTGACCGATCGATCGACTTTATTATTAATTATTTAGTTAAAACAATGAATAATGTGGAATATTTACAAAACTAGCTCTTTGAGTTGTTTTGCTTTTTGCAGTGAACAAAAACAACCCAGGTCTGCGAATCCCCAAACAACCCAGAATTGTGAATCCCCAAACAACCCAGAATTGCAAATGAAAGAACAGCTAAAGCAGGAATGATGGCGGAAGATTGAATACAAAAAAATGGACAGACAGGACGTAGCCACTGATCAAAACAACAGTGGTTTATCAAAAGTAGCTTTAAAAATGATGATATTTAGAGAGTTAGAATTTATGTTTTCTGTCTATTTAGCAGGCTGATTTGATCCTCATTTGTTAGTCATTATGGTTTAGATAATTCTATATTCTTGAATCTCAATTCAGGATATTAACAGGCGTAACCAGGATCTAATAGTCGAGGGATATAACCAAGGGATGTTACTGTGGAATTTTGGTAAAGCAGTTGCCAAACTGTGCGTCATACCTGGCTACTCCTATAATTTTTATCACACAAAAGTGGAGTATAACATAATATAATATTATTATCTTAAGGTGACTATAATATTCTTGAGATGACTTAAGGTGACTATAATATTGTCAATGTGGCAGTAATATTCTTAATGTGACAATAATATTCTTAAGGTGACAATAATATTCTTAAGGTGACAGTAATATTCTTAAGGTGGGAATAATATTCTTAAGGTGGGAATGATATTCTTAAGGTGAAAATAATATTCTCAAGGTGACAATAATATTCTCAATATTTCAATGTGGCAATACAGACTTTTATTGACATAATATTCTTAAGGTGACAGTAATATTCTTAAGGTGGCAATTATATTCTTAAGATGGCAGTAATATTCTCAAGGTGGCAATTACATTCTCCAGGTAACCAAGTACATTTGAATTTCACTCTAGAATGAACAAACCTTGACTAATGAATCCATATTTTCTCTTGAAGTAATAGCTTTGCTACTGGCACAGGCACTAACTATACTAAGGCAAGGACAATTTCAGGTTCAGTGAACCAACACTTGTTATGTTTGTCACATTTATCTTGAGGGTGTTAGATTTTCCAGTAAGACATTACAGTAAACAAATCAATCAAACCAGTGTCACTCATCATCTTCATAAGCTGAAACGTATTACACACCTTTGACACCATTTTTTCCACAAATATGACACCATTTTTTCCACAATTTCATGACAAACCTTTTTGTCAAAATTTACAATAATATATTATTTTGGCAAGTTGTAGATGACTTTAACATTAATACAAATAGATCATTTCAATACAAATCACAAATTTGTCAAATGTCAAGAAAGCCATCATTGAGATTAATTTAGTTCTTACCAAGTAAAGTTGGTTAGTAACGAAGCACTGACTGACCTCACACTTGTCATTAATGCCGGAACTACAACTAAATACCTATAAGGAGCCCTTGATAGTGACTTACAAGTTACAAGCCACTCTCGACTAAAGCACTGGGCATGAAAATTAATAATAATAATACAAATTGAGTTAATAGATCATGATTTAATAGACATTAGAAGGACATAATGTAACATGTATAAGCTGAAGGTGACATCAATGTCATATAAAATTGTTTATATGTCATATAAAATTGTTTATTTCATCAAACTAAAAAACATGGACAAGCACTTACCTGCATGTAAGATAATCTGAGTTGATATCTTACATAATTAGGAGGTGTGAAACAAGTTCATTTGTTACTGTCAGATTCAGACAAAATAATATTTTTGTAGATAATACAGAAATTATTTAGAGTTCATTTAGAGGTTGAAAATCTCAAAAGTTGCCAATTGGTTAAAAAAAGTATCTACTTGAATGCGACATAATAATGAATGTATTTAGATATAGTATTTGTGTGAGAAACAAAAGTCCAAAATTAAAAATGGATCCCATAAAACATATTCCAGATGATTTAAATAATTAAAACTCTAAAATCTTGAACATTTTTTCCAAAGTGTTTCAGATTCTCTGCACTTGTCAAAATATGGATTTTTCCATATTTGGATTTGCTAGATTTGTTTCAGTTTTAAACATGGCAACATATACTCTCTTAATATTTTAAACATCTTTGTTTACATTCATAACATTGTGTTGCTTTGCCAATGTATTGACAATATCTGCCAGCTATTCAATTATCTGAGTACAATCAACAGGAACAACCTTATTTTCTAGATCAGGTTCCATCGCTGATATGGCTAAAGAAGATGAAACACGAGTCTTTACAATTTGTAACATACATATGCGTCAAAATAAACGTAATTTGTAACTACTATAATATGATATCTACATCTAGCTTTATGATTAGTAAATCTATAACTGAGCCTCACAGCTAATTAAATTGAATATGTACAATGGTATACAATATCATGGTATTATCATACATTATATATATATATACAGGCCCGTAGCCAGAATTTTCCAAGGGGGGTTCACTTTTCCCAAAAATTCTAGGGGGGGGGTTCACTTTGGCAAATTTGGCCAAAAATCATACAAAAAATGGTCAGAATGGTGAAAAACTGCATGATTTTGAAAGAAATTTTGGCCAGGGTTCGCCCAAACCCCCCGAACCCCCCCCCCCTGGCTATGGGCCTGATATATATAATAATGAATCATTTGTGTGGCAATATGTCAACACCTAAGTTTCACACAGTATTACAGAGGTCATGTCCTTCAATTCATGACTTAAATGACGTGGAATATCATTTTTAATTGCTAATCATATCTAATCCTGTGTTACTTCAATGGGATGTCTTTCAAAGAATTTGATAAAAGTAATTTTGGTCTAAAGACTGTTTATAGGGCACACCTGAAATTAGCATTAGCCTATTTCAGATAATATCACTAATATCACTAATAGCCAAA